AACCGTTGAAGCACGTCCCATAGGTGATGCCACCAGCGCGAAAGACGGGGCGAAGCTTGGCCATATCTGCCGTCGCCCGATCGTCATTGAGCACATCCTTCCAGATGTGAAAGCGCACCGCCTGAAGAATCATGAGGGTGGCTGTTCGCACGCTCGAATCCTTGACACTGAAGAGATCCTGATGATGGAGCAGTCTGCACTCGACAGAAAAGGGAGACTCTGCTATATACGGTGGCTTTACGATGTCTCCGGATACGGGCGTTAATCCTGACAATTCCCACTCAGATATGTGGCGTGGCGTATTCACAGAGGTAAAGTTGGCAGCCCTTCGAACGTACTATTAGTGCAAGTTCGTTCGTTGAATTAGCGTGTATACTCACTCGATCAGCCAATCGCTGGTCATACTAATACAACATTCCTTGGTCGCCAGAATGTTGGTGAGAGTATCATTTGGCTCTCTGCCTGAGCATGAAAGTGAATACGTCGGAGGCTATAACAACGCGTCTTTGTATCAGTAACTGTGTCCCGATATTTTCCAGCTTGGTTGATACTCACATCAGTTGTAACACATTGAAAGTATGAGAATGGCGCCAGATTCTTTGTAAGCCCGTCCTTGGTGACGGTGCTCACCAATGCAATCGGCCTCGGCACCGTACACGAGATCATGAGCTTATAGTTGAGTACGACAGAGCGACCATCTTCCTGTGGATCAATAGACAAGAAGTTGCGGTCCTTGCAGTGTTCAGTGGTGGCGCCATCGCCGACTCTCCAGTTCGGTCTTGGCGTCTTTGACATCTCCCATCTCAAAGACGTGTTGTACGGTGGCCTGCCAGCCTCCACGGCAGCGAAGTCCTCGTGAGGATTGCGCTTGACCTCGGCTTCTTTATCAGGAGCCTCGATGGGCTCTGGCGAAATCACGGTTTGCGGCATGGCTTTGCTTTTGGTGAACTCTAGTGATCGCGATAGGTGCGTCTATCCAGATCATCAAGGCTCCATGATGCAGGACTATAGTCCTTTTGGAGTATTAGGTGCGGCTAACTGCTATCCGGACCCCTCCCACTCCAGCCCACAATTATTCTTAGAGCACAGTCAAGCAATGACTCTTTTGGGTTCTATACGTGTTGCGTGATCATTATCATTAGCAACGAACTCTTCGATGTGTTCTCCGGTCAATATGGAACACCAAAAATATCGGCACAGCGAAGACATTCCGTGGGACTGGCTTGCTTAACTCATCCTGGAGTTGCCCGGACCCGACGATCCGATGGATGATGCCGATCATATGTCGCCCCCTTCCCTCTTTGAGCAACCTCTTATCACATTATACTCTCTCTACGCCAATGACATGGCTTTCAACAATGTGCAAGATGTAGTGCATTACAGGACACGCGGTAAGAGGCCACCAATAGACGCCCCTGTGCGATAACCAACCATTCGAAGAGGTTGGAACCCGGATGGGATCCGTGGATTGGTACACGACATGATACCCATATCATCTTGTGGTTTTGTGTGCGTCGTAATATTCGATCCGCTTGTGGCTTAGTCGATTGTGTTCATGAATGGAAATCATATAAGCGGATGCAATGGTCCCCAAACGTGCATAGGCAGTATCGAATGCAATGCATGGCACATATGTATCTTTGTCCTCCATGCTGACTCTGCTCTTCTCCAAGAATCCTGCATGTTCCATCCAGATCTTGTGTGCATCCTCATATTAGTGCAAGTATGGGACTAAGATTCAGACTTCCGAGGACATTCAAGTCCCTGGAAGTCAGCGAGGAAGGTCAGAATAGCAGATGGGCAAATCCAGATGTCCTCCCCGTTCCGAGCCACCAGATCACCTATGACTGGAAGGCTTATGCCGGTTATTGGTTAGTTCACCTCTGCATTGACTGCCAATATCAGCCTGACCTGTTGCATCGTTTCCCTCTAGGCTTGCAGTAGGCTTCAACACTACGACTTGGTCACTTGGCGCCAGCAACCTGGCGAACGGGTTGGATGCCGGTGCCACGATAGGTGCGATTGCAGTTGGCGTGATAATCGCTGCCATGGTTGCGTTTGTCAGTGGCGAGCCCGGCATTAGGTATCACCTTGGTTTCCCCATGATCAGTCGCACCACTTTTGGAATGTACGGATCGTATTTTGTCATGTAAGTATTCAATCGAGAGACTTTCAGTCTTCAGAATATGCTTACCTTGTCCTTCAGCATGCTCAAGGTAAGTAAAAGGCACCGTGCCAAATCCCATATCGGCATATTTATGCAATGCTAGTGCTTTGTCAACTTCATATTCTTCGGCATACAATCGTACTGGGGCGGACTCGCAGCGAACATAGTACTCTCGGCGATATTCCCAAGCTTTCGTGATCTGGAGAACACTATACCGAGTGAGTGCTCTCGAATTAGTTATTTCAGACGCCAAGCCACAAATGTACTCATGCCCATCTCATTCAGCATCATCCGGAATCACAAGTAAGCAATTGATTGGATTCATCATCTACAACGTCATATTCACATCAATGATGTTTATCCACCCATCAAGGCTTTCCAGACATGTATGGATCTCGCAGGTCTGGGTCACAGTCACCATGTTTGGCCTCTTTATCTGGGCCATGGCACAAAATCAAGGAGCCTCCTTTCTTGGCCCTTCCAAGACTATTTCAGCAAGGTGTGTATCTCATGATTGATGTGGAACGATTTTACAGATACTAAACCTCATACAGCGAAAGATCCTTCCGAATACTACAAGCCATAAGCGCCGTGGCTGGAGCTTGGACAGGCGCCTGCATTCGTCAAGCCGACTGGACGCGCTTCACAAAGTCCCGCACAGCAGTCGTCGCCAACCAATTGATCACGGGCCCCATTTCGGGAATCGTGTGCGCAGTCATGGGCATTGCCGTGACGAGCGCCATTGCTGCCATGTATCCCAGTTCCCTGAACGGCAGCAGCTCCTCGGTGTGGAATCCGATCTCCCTCCTGGACTACCTCCAGACGCAAGATTATAGCGCCACCACACGCGCGGGCACCTTTTTCGCCGGGCTCGGTTTCTTTGCCAGCCAGATCACCATCAATCTTGTCCAGAACTCGGTGGCGTGCGGAATGGATCTTGCGTCCATGGCGCCTAGGTATATCGATGTCACCCGGGGATCACTCATCATGTGCGTCGTCGGCTACCTGATACAGCCCTGGCGATTCGTCAATCAGGCAGGTCTATTCATCAGTGTGCTCAACTCATTTGGCATGTTTGTATCACCACTCGCCGGAATCAATGCCGTGGACTTTTGGGTAGTCCGAAAGCTGAGGTGGAAGATTCCCGACCTGTACAAGGGAAAGAAGGACAACGTTTACTGGTACACTGCTGGCCTCAACTGGCGAGCTTTCGCCGCTTGGGCTGTGACGATATGGGCATCTTTTCGTACGTGTTACTGTGTGGTCCATTTCTCGCCATGGTATTTGCTGACACTCGTCCTGCTAGCCGGGTTCATTGGGGCCATGAATGGTAAGAGCTATGGTGCAGGCTGGACCAGAACATTTCAAGTTACTTGGATCGTCGGGTTTTGTGGCTCTGGGTTCGTCTACTACCTCATCTGCTTGGTATTTCCACCACCAGGAGCTCCATATGTCTTGGAATTATTAGATGGACGCAGCGAGACCGTGATTGATGGCCAGTCTCTTTCGGACGTGGTAATCGGCCGGGAACAAATCGTTTCTGCGAACACGCCGAAAGTGATAGGCGAGAAGGCGGGTGGTTCGCCATAGATTCATAGGTAAGAGGCAATACCGTTGCAGCTTATTTTGCATGATATCTGCTTTGAAATCTCACCATCAATCATCATCTTTCCTCTCAAACAACATATCTCCTGATCTATTATATCTACGATGATCTGATTAGTCTAGATCAGATATAATATGCGAAGCCTTTGTAGCCACATTAGCCTATGCCTGACCTTCTGTACTTCCTACTTCGCCTCTCGCCTTTCCTGCTCTAAGTACTGGTCGTTCCTGATCAAGCGTCTCTCTGCTCAGTATAAGCAGCTCTCGTTGTCACACCAAACCCTCACCCTCCGAATAACAGTGAGGTGTTCAGGGCACATTCGTCCATTGCCAGCGCCGTCGCAGCGATGGATATAATCTGCACTCATGGGACACCCCCAGACCTTGAGAATATGTATATCGCAGCTCGTGATCTTTAGTCGTGTGGCGCTCAAGAAATGTAAGCATCGGAGTGGTGCAAATTGGAAAGGTCCTCAGCACCAATTTCTGTCGATGTTAAAAACAATATCTAGGCCCTGCGGCACCTGCACGGGGTGAAAGAATGAAAAAAATGTCTGTAGAAAGTTTACGTGACAAGGTTCAAAGGAAAGAAACGACTACGACAAGGCCACGCTTTGCTACGATCAAGTGACCAATGCAGAAAAATAGTCCTTGTCATAGTCGTCTTGAAAGATCGAGGTCTTCGTGTCCTTGAGGACGGACATTGCCAGCTTTCCGTGCAGGTCGATCGAGGGTCGCTGCGACGAAGATATCTGACTGAAGAAATATATGGCTGCAGAAGTCTTACAGTTATTCTCGCTTGTGAAATCCAAGGACAGATCACGAGACAGGCCAAATGCATTCTTTTTCGGCGCACGTAATGCTTGTGGTGTTTGGTCATTTTGGCATTGCTGCCTTTGGATTGAAGGATTCGAAATATGACTGATGTACAAAAGGACTGGAATCAGTCCCGAGAGTCAATATGCACAACCTACATAACGAAACAAATCATGATTATAACACTCCGGGGTGTCCATTTTCAAGGGAAACATGTGCTAGCTCGAATTTAAAAACATGCACTTTGAACTTGGTATCGCGAGCGGCCAAATGCTTCATCAAAGCGAGGCAAATATGTCGCAGCGAAGGCCTTCAATTCGAGCAAAAATAAGAAGGGAAAGAAAAATTCTGAATTGCCAAACGAATGCGAACGATATCAGAAAAGAATAACAGAGCAAAAGAATGACAATCTTAGTCCGCCCCGGATTCGAACCGGGGACTCGGGAAACTTGAATTTGACCTCAAATCAAAATCCCACGTGCTAACCCCTACACTAGCAGACTGTCGTAGGTTGCTTGGTGCGAGAAGGCTGTTATACGGACTTGTATAGCCTGACCAAGGTGGACACAATTTGGTTTCTCATTGCGGAGCTACTAAGATTGAATGGGACATGAATAATGTGAATCAACAGTCGTGGCCAGCCTCAATGCAGTTCATTTTACTATTGTTGTGGATTGTGATGACTCATAGAACGTGCATGGTGCCGATGGGGCGCTCCGAGTTGGAGGCTGGCTGGTACATACCTACACATAGTGACTTATTGCAACTGTTAATTCGAATGCCGCTATCTTCATAAAATAACTTAGATGAAGGAGTAATTTTTGCTAATAAAGACCTCCATGAATAGCACCATATGATTCAATATTTCCGAGGGGCCTAGGTATATGTGTTGCCTTTTCAACCACCTAAACGCCGCCCCGTAGAATAAGCCCAAAATGATTCACCTGCCCTTGACCTTTCTAATAATCACCATGCTGCCCTCTAATTCCCAGCCGACCTTTTCGTTGCTGATCAGGTCCATCCAATTGGCGTCGGCGCACTTTTCGAGAAAGGCTAAATCCACACTCAGGTAGCCGCGACCAAAGCACTTGAGCGCGTGTCGGCGCATGGCCTCCTCGGCGTAATCGAGCAGCTTGGCCTTGTGTCCGTCGGCGCTCATCCGCAGGCGCTTCAGCAGAATATAATTGTCGTGCGTCAACGCCTCCAGCACCCCGTCCACCTTGGGGTCCCGCAGCTTGTACCGGTGCCGCAGGGCATACGCCTCGGCGAGGTCGCTGCGGCGGCACGCCGTGTCCAGAATCAGGTAGCCCACCACCTCGCTCGTCTCCATGCTAGTCATGGGATGCCGCGGATGTATGCGGCGTAGGAGATGTAGAATCGATGGATGGTAAGTCTCGGGATTTCTGACAAGCACCGCCAACCGGATGCAAAACAGGTAAGCTTGTACGGCAAAGTCGTCGGCGCGCTTCGAGGCGACTATGCCCTCGCGCAATTTCCTCAGGGCTGCGAGCACGTCGGAAAGACCCTTTGTATCGCTAGTAATACCCGATGGTTTGAGCGGCACACCGGCAGGGGCGCTGGTCGCCTGATGAGGATGCGGCCTCGCAGACGTCAAGTGAGGCGTTGATTGGAATTGTGTGCCCGTCGCCCTGTCGTTGGGGTACGGATTTTGTGTCGTCAAGTTGAGGGCGGCAAATCGTCGCAGTAGTTCTTCTCGTTCGCCAGCGTCGGAGCAGAAGGTCATATAGCGCTCGACAATCTTTGTATAGTATCGTTCTTGGGTTTTGAGGTCGAGTAGTCTGTCGTCGCCCTTCGAGGGCAGTCCGATGGCTTCTAGCGGATCGAGCTCGACTGGCTTCAGGCGGCTCCAGGGGGCGGAAGATGGTGCTTTGCCGCCGCGATAACCTCCCCTGGCACCGCCGCGTCCACCGCGTCCACGCATTCTCAAGGCATGCTACGACGAGTCAAGCTCGTATTGAAGAGAAGAGAAGGGCGGCGGAACCAGAAACAGGGAGATGTGGCCGCTGGATGCACTGTCATTTGGCGGGGTTGATTTGCTCGCAGCTTAGCTTAATCTTATCGCATAGTAAGTAAACAATAAGCGGAACTAGCCAAGCGCCAGGGGGACATCGCAGATCCATGCCAATGCTTTGAAGTCATTATTATCCGACCATATTGTAACATTGTTTATTCTAGATCCCGCGTCCTTGCATTTTCGTCGGCCAAGTCAAATTTCCTTTTCGTCAATAAGAACGGGAATGTATTTCAATTTTCCTCCATCATACACAGATAGCAACTGTAACTAGCGGCCTCGTGTGATTACAAACACTCCGAGTGCTACATAGATGTACGTTTCACTGTTGTAGTAGGCAATCCGGATGCCTCGGGGACATATTTACAACTAAACGGGTCAATCACTATAACTTAAAGGAGCAGCTAGGTTGCCATCTCATACCGAGCTTATAATGATCTACAACATGGCTGTCTGGAAAGCAATTGACAAATAAACACATACGCCGCGGCACCGGAGCTGATTGACGCCGCGGGGAACCTCGGCAGCCTTGAGAAAATCCGGGGTAACGACTCCAACTGCCCCGCAGAAAGTCATAATAAAATGAAGTCGTAGAGGACTCGGTGTAAACGAATTGGAACCCTGCCCCCATATTTCTGCCCATATTCACTTAATTACATTTGCATATTACCAAGTAGTCGATAAGTCAAGTTCATACCAGCACCATGGCGGATCGTGTGAAGCAATTATACGGGCAGCTCAACTTTCCCAAGGGGCTGCTCGCTGGCCAGACAGCCATCATTACCGGCAGTGGACAGGGCATTGGCGCTGAGGCAGCTCGTCTATTTGCCAACGAGGGAGCCAAGGTTATCATATCAGACATTGACGGCAGTACGTGATTAAATTTTCATACGATGTCAATTGGTCATATCACTTACACATTCCTCTCTTTGCAGCAAAGGCACAGTCCGTGGCAGACAGCATCAACTCTGGCGGCGGCAAGGCTCTGGCGGTTCCTGGCGACATGCTGGACTCGGCCTACATCAAGACACTGGTAGCCAAGGCGGCCGAATTTGGAGGCGGCAAGATACACATCATCGTCAACAACGCAGGCTACACGTGGGACGGCGTGATCCACAAGACGACCGACAAGCAGTGGGACGCCATTGTTGCGCTGCACGGCACGGCGCCCTTCCGGCTCGTGCGCGAGGCCTCCCCTTACTTCCGCGTCAAGGACGGGGAGCCCCGCAACATTGTCAACATCTCATCCACCAGCGGCGTCCACGGCAACGCCGGCCAGGCCAACTATGCCTTTGCCAAGGCCGGCGTCACTGGTCTCACCAAGGCCATTGCCAAGGAATGGGGACCCAGCTTTGGTGTTCGGGTCAACACCATTGCCTATGGACACATTGAGACACGGCTGACCCAGGCCAAGGAAAAGGGTGCCTTTATTACAGGACCCAATGGTGAAAAGATTGCGCTGGGTATACCCGAGGCTCAAAAGGCAGCAGCTGGCCCTCAGCTATACGCAGATATTCCCCTCAGGAGGCCCGGATCGCCTACGGAGGCTGCAAGTGCCATTTTGGCTATTGTCAGCCCCCTGTTCTCATACGTGACTGGCCAGACCATCATGGTCACTGGCGGTCGCAACATGTAATGGAGGTTGGCAGGAGAAAAGTCGTCATATACAATAATAGTTGAGCATAGACCTAAATCACACAAGACTTCGAGTACTGGCAAATTGCGGCCTGCTTTGGCCTCATGTATTAGTAGTATCATCAGCAGAAGATGTAAACACAAGCCGTCCTAACGCCAGGCAGTCCTCGTGTTTTTGTTGTACATCTCCAAAATTCGTCCAGCTAACTCTCCTTGCTGGTGTAATGCTCACAGTCCACCATTTTCCGTCATCTCAAGGGTAAAATTCTAGACCTTCAGCCAAAGGCTCAGGACACCCTTGGCATACTCGACAATCTCGTCACCACCCAGCTTGCTCTCACCGTAGACACGGTCCACGAACGAGATGGGCACCTCCGCAACGGTGCAGCCCATGGCCTTGGCGCGGACCATCATCTCCATCTGGAAAGTGTATCCCTTGCTCTCGGTACTCTCAATGACCTTTTGCAGGACGGGTCGCTTGTACAGGCGGAAACTGCCGGTAAGGTCGCTGACGCCGGGGCGCAGGACGGTGTCGGCAAACAGGTTGGCGCCGCGCGACACGAACTTGCGCTTGAGGTCCCAGCCGTAGACGCCGCCGTCTCCGGCGTAGCGCGTGCCCGTCACAATGTCGTAGTTGGCCTGCTTCTGGACCTCGATCATGCGCGGGATGAACTTGGGGTGGTGGCTGAAGTCGGCGTCCATGATGATGACGAAGTTGCCCGTCACGAATTGCATGCCGTGAACGTAGGCCGTTCCGAGACCCAGCTTGCCCGTCCGGGTCTTGAGAATGACGTGAGGCGAGTAGGCCTTGACCAGCTGGTTGGCGACTTCTTGGGTTCCGTCGGGCGAGCCATCATCGACGATCACGAGCTCCCAGTCAAGCTTGCTAAGCTATGGTTAGCTCTTGTATTCTTTCCATAGGTCCAACTCGAGAACCAGATATCGAGGCAATTGCTTCGCTCTATTCGCAGTCTGAGGCCACATACTTCTCGGTAAAGGTACGGTTGAGCAGCCAGGCGACGATGGGCAGGTTCTTGCGCTCATTGTACGTTGGCAGGATCACCGAGTACTTGTCTCCCTTGGGTGCCATTGTGTCAAAAAGATGAAATGAATAAAATATCGAAAGGATGGAATCGCAATGGGGGGTCGGAGAAGAATCGAAAGGTCTGCTGGATTGTCGGCGTGCAGGCGCAAAGGAATGGATGAAGTTGGCGATAAGGGGGAATACGGGACTGCAGTGTCGCGTTAATAGAGGGTCTGGACACGGTTTACGGGGGAGCTGAACGAGGTGTCCAGGTGTGCTGAAAGGTTGGAGCTCGGGCCCAGCCTTAAATTGGTGGAGATTCAACGCCAAGCTGCTTAGGTGCACAGCGACAAGCGCTAGGCTACTGTTCTATAAACTATTTTTCTTTCAGCATGTTATACATCGTGATTGCAAATAAGTCGCGCTCTGTTGGGTATTTTATTTATCCTATCCATTTCTTTAAGTATATCTGCAAGGGCAGATGAGAAGAACGGCAAAACAACCCCATGCAATAGTAATGTATTTGACCCTGGAATCAACAAGTATTTCTTTGTACCTGATTTGATATTCGATATAATATGCTATACGACCAGATTTAAAAGCCTCTGCCCTTTCTTTTGACGACTGGCTTTTTGACCGCACCGCTAGTCTTGATCTTCTTCTCATCCTTGGTCCCGTTGACGACTTTCTTAACCGTGCTTTGCTGCTGCTCCGCAAGCAAACGATCTTGCTCCTTCTGCTTGTCCGCTGCCATCTGCGCCTCGATTTCCATCTTCCTGTTGAACTCTGTTTCGGTAACTCGCTTCTCTCTT